GCCTGTCCATCCTCCAGGGTACCAGTCGTTTCTGTGTGGCACATTCAGGGACCCTCTCTACTAGCTATCTTGAAATGAATACAGTTAGTTATCAACCAGCTATGCTCCTGCACTACAACAGGATGTTGGAGTTTTTCTCCTGGGACCTCCCTCTCCCCTCCTCCCTCCCCAGCCCCCTTCCCAGGCTCTGCTAACCACTGCTCTCCTATCAAGATCAACTTCCTGACCTTCCACATATGTGAGAACCTGCAGTATTTTTGTCTTCCTGTGCCTGACTTGGTTCACTTCTTCCCTAGTCTGCTTTTAAAAACTGAATAATGTCAGCTTACTTCCCCCATACCCTTAAATGCCTCTCATGAATATGATTAGTTTAGTGCTTCTTCTTTTTTTTTTTTTTTTTGTACTGGGGATCGAACTAGGGCCCTTGCACTTTCGAGGCAGGCAGCAGAACCACTGAGCCAAATCCCTGGCCCTTTAGTGCTTCTTTTGTGTTCCACGCATGCATAAAACCCGTTTTGCCTGCTCTAGCCCTGTGCTGGAATCCGCACTGTGACAATGCCATGCCTGCCGCCTGTCTCTCTGTCCTCAAACCTGGAGGAGTCTTTGAGGGGGGGCTGTTGGATGTGTGCAGTGGTTCACACCTGCGGCCAAGTCCCGGAGCTTCCCCGTGGTGCGCCGGCTCACACCTCCCCCAGCAGAATGTGAGGCTCTTGCTCACCACATCCTGGGTTTTATTTTACTGAAGAGAGAGAAAGAAAAAACCCACAAAACCAAATTTAAGTTGCTAAGTGCATTTGTTTTTTAAACCCCCAAAACAATCCATGCCGTTGAAAAGAAAATCTAGAAGATAAAAGTACAGAAAGTAAAAAAGATAAAGCCCCTCTGTGTGCTGCCTCCATGAAATCCCACTTTCAGGGAGGTGACTGCTGTGCAGTGTGACGTGCAGTTTTCCAGACCTTTTGTGTGTGTACGTGAGTGCAGGCACAGCAAGTACACATAAGGCATATATTGTTCTTCTAAAATACAGCTGGAATCTTTATTTTATTTTATTTTATTTTATCTTTTGGTTTTTTTGAGATAGGGTCTCACTATGAGGTTGAGACTGACCTCTAACTCACTATGTAACCCAGGCTGGTCTCGAACTCACAGCGATCCTCCTGCCTCAGTCTCCCGGGTTCTGGGAATACAGGTGTGCGTCACCACACCCAGCTAGGAATCTTACAATATATTCTGTTCTCTATTCTGTGACATGTTTGAGACAGTATGTCACAGACAAAAAAGTCACTGTGTCCCAAGGCAGTCTTGTCCCAGCACCACAAAAACGATCAAGCGAAAATGAACCAATTTCAAATGCAGTCTCATCCTTTTTTTTTTTTTTTTTTTTTTGGATACAAGATCTTGCTGTGTAGTCCAGGCTGGCCTTGAACTTACTATGTAGTCCAAACTTGCCTCAAACTTGCAGTGATCCTCCTGCCTCAGCCTCCTGAGTGCTGGGATCATAGCTGTATGCCACCCCGCCCAACCTGCAGCCTAATTCTTTTAGGGCTGCGTATTGTTTTTTTAATTTCAAAGCTGAGAAGAGCCATAACCTTGTAGCGATGTGTCAAACATTTTTAAAAAATCTAGGGCTGGAGGTTTAGCTCAGTGGTGCCACCATCTGCTTCACAAGTGCAAGGTCCCAAGTTCGATCCCCAGTACCTCCCCCCAAATCTAAAAACCAAGATATATCATGTAAAGGTACAAGATCCCAATGATAAATCTAACTGTATTGTTTGCTTTAAATGTACCAGTAAACTTAATGGGAAAAAACTCTAGTTTGTAAAAAAAATACAGTGGGGGGATATGTTCCTAGACTCTCAAAGAATACCTGAAACCACAGGTAGTACCAAATCCAATGTATACTATGCTTTTTCCTATGCATGTATATTTCTACAATAAGGTAATTTATACATTAGGCATAGTTGCTGAGCATGGTGGTTTACACTTGTAACCCCAGCCCTTGGGAAGCTGAGGCAGGAGGATCCCTGTGAGTTTGAGGTTAGCCTGGGGTACATAGTGAGTTCAAGGCTAGCCTGAGCTACAAAAGAAGATCCTGTCTAAAAAAAAAAAAAAAATAGGCATAGCAAAAGATCAGCAACTATAACGGTGGAACAATTATGACAATATACTATAATAAAAGTTCTTTAGTGTTTATGAGTTGTTTATTTCTAGAATGCTCCGTGTAGTATTTTCAGATTGACCACAAGTATCTGAAACTGTGGAAAGCAGAACCGTGGATGAGGGGCCGCTGGGTGGGTGCAGGGATTGCAGCAGGGGCCGAGTGTTCGTTTACTTGTGTCTGTGTGAATGTTCCTTCCGTAGACTTGAGGGCTTCGTGCTCCAGCTGTGGTGCCGGGGATAGATACAGCTGTGTGTGAAGCAGAAATTATTTCTTTCCTTATGCAAGTTATTGTCCATAAAGGGAAGTCCTTTAGTCCCTGCTGCCCTGTCTCTGATTTGCTTTATAGCTGGAGGAGAAGAAGGAGATGCATTTTCATGGAAGAGCAGCCATTCCTGGAGCAGGGCGCTCAGGCTACCCCCGCAGCTTCACAGGAAAAGCCCAAGGTTGCTGGGCCGCGAGGAGGGGCTGTCCTCTCTCCCCGCTTCATGTTGGTTTCTGTCTTTGGGGCCGGAGGGGAAGTAGCAGCTACCCAGAAAGCTAGCTGGTACTTGTTTCAGGGAGGGCCCTGGGACCCAACTGTGTGTTGTGAAATCTGGTGATTTCTCTTTCTCTTCTCCATATCAGGGAGGGATTTGGAGTCCCATGGTGGTAGGGTTGAGGGCCGCTTCTGGAGCCTCCCCTGGGTCTGGGAGGCAGGTGCTGTTCCCGAGAGATTTCCTGGCCTGGGACCACAGGCCGGTGACCATTGGGGTTTGCAGGGGAACCAGTCTTGTGGGCCCAGGCTGACTGGGCAGGCAAAGGGGGACCCTGGTCAGCAGCAGAGCTGGCTTGCGTGTCTACCTCACCTGCAATAGCTTCTGGCCCCAACCTGTGGGGTAACAGAACCCCATCTCCCCTCTGGCCAGCGATGCTGAGCAGGCAGCACTGCCGAGGGCTGAGGTAATCAGTCTCCTGGTCACTCCCACGAGGGGCCGAGGTTCAGCCCAGCCTCACCCACACCTGGCTCAGTGCCCTCTGCAGCAACACACTCATCCACGTGTGCAGCGAGCTCCCCATGAGCCTGGCTGGTAGCTGTCATTGTTCATTGCTGTCTCGTGATCGGGGAGCCCTACAGATCGGTTCTGCACATCAGCCTCTCCATGTTGCACATGGGAAAACTGAGGCTCAGAGGTTTTGTGACTGTCCTGGCCCCTGCCTGTCTCCACTTTATCTGCTTCCACTCCCACGTCCCTTCCTGCCATGCTGTCCTGTCCCTCCTGGTCCCCCTGGCCAGCTTGTGCCCACCCCTGGCGCCCTCTCCCTGAGCGGACTGCCTCACCCCTGCCTGGGAGGCAGGCCAGGGTGATGGCTGTGTCTCCACCCCTGGCGTGAAGGCTGGGGGGGGGGAAGGGCTTGTCAGGGGACCCCTCCCTTGTTCCTCCTCCCGCTCCTGCCGTGAGCTCTGAGCCCCTCGCCCCCACCTTAGACAGCCCGCGGGGACATCGGTGATTAGCACAGCTCCCTGCTTCCTCCATGAGCTTTGCACAGCTGAAAGCCTGGCTTAGTTTGCTTTGGTCCCACTGCAGCCTCGACTTCCCACCCAGCTCTTTGTCTTTTCTTAGTCCAGAAAACCATACATGTTCATCATGACCGTTACAGAACCCCGAAAGCGGAAGGAACCTTGTCTGGCCTCACCACCCACGGGCACCCGCTTAACCAATTCAGTGAATTTCCACTAGTCTCCCAGTGCATACTTTGGCCTTTTGGGGGTGAAGGGGCTGTGATCTGACCACAGGATGTATACAACTGTAAATTTTCCCTTTTCCTCACTTTATGAATAAAAATAAATGTAGAAATAAAATATTTCACATTAAATACTTCAGAACTAATTTTAATGACTACAGAATATTTCATACATGAGGTGATATCATTTTTTCTTAACCTCTTCAGTTGTTTAACTTTTACTATACCTTTCTTCCTCTCCTAGTTTCCTATTTAATCTTTCACCAAGTGTGTGTGTGACAGGGAAAAGAGTGTATGGAGGCGGAGACAGTCTTAAGTCCTTTCTGAAAAAGGAAAAGGCAGGCCATATATTGTGTGTAGAAAGTTTTAAAAATGGTGTCTATGGCTGACAGCGTGGAGGACAGCACTTGGAGGCCTGGGGTTTAATCTCTAGAACTGCCACAAAAACGCTTAGCCAGGTGTGGCGGTGTATGCCTGCAATCCCAGTACTCTGGGAAGCAGAGGCAGGAGGATTGGTAAGGTTAAGTCCTAGCTAGAGAATTTAGCAAGACCCTGTCTCAAAATAGAAAATAAAAAAAGGTGGGGATGTAGCTCAGTGTGAAGGCCCTAAATGTAGTTCATTTCCCAGTCCTGGGGAGAAAAAAAGCTAAACAATTTAAAATTTGTTACTACTATAATGCTACTTTGATGAACTGGATCAAAGGAGTATGAATATGGCAGAAGTTCTAATTTACCTGACAATTTGCTTTCTTAAAGGTTCATGCCAGTTTCCAAGCCTGTGAGGTAGGAAAGTGGCCAGCTCAGTCTGGGGTTTTTTGTTTTTATTTTTTTTTTGTTTGCTTGTCCCCCCGCTCCACAGGGTCTCACTATGTAGTTTAGGGAGACTTGAAACTCACTGTGTAACCCACGCTGGTTTCAGAACTTGTGATCCTCCTGCCTCAGCCTCTCGAGTGCTGGGATTACCATGCACAGCTCTCAGTCTGTTTTCACAATAGGTGTTTTCTGGATAGAAGTCAGTGTGCAGTGCACATCCCTGAGTGCACATCACAGACTCGTCACCTGGGGCTGTGGGTGGAGGAATGTCCTCGAATATTTCATCTGGGATTTTGTCTTGCAGCTGACTTTGGTGTGTCTGCCAAGAATCTGAAAACTCTGCAGAAACGAGATTCCTTTATAGGAACGCCTTACTGGTGAGTCGCATGGCTTCTGGAGAACGGTGGGCTGAGTGTTCCCCTGAAAACTCTAGCCTCAGGGTGGTTTGGGGGAGTGAGGCCCGGAGTCAAGGACCCGGGTCCGGGGTGAGCCAGGCTCTGCTCTGCTTAACTGGCACGGTGACTTTGGGTGTGTCGCCTAGCTGGCCCGTGCCTCAGTTTCCACTTCTGTAAATGAGGAATAGAAAGGTGCTTAACTGAAAGGGTTACTGTGGGGCTGAGTGACACACAGGAAGGCGCTCCTTGAAGAAGCAGAGTGCATGAGAAATGGCTCCGTCCTCTCTCGTTGGCATCAGTGCCAGGCACTGGGGTGGGGCGGGAAGGTGAGCAATCCAAGGTCACTTCTTAGCCTCACAGAGCCTCCCTGGAATTCCCTAGTCTCCTGTGTCTCCTTTCTTACTAAAACTATTACTTTAAAAGAAACAAAACTCTCATTCAATTTCACACCTAATTACTTTCTGTGTTGTGGTATTTTCACAAATTGCCATTGTGGAGTTTAGCTCCTTTCTTGCTTATTTCTCTTAATTGTTTCTCTCTCTTTTTATTCCTCTTTCTCCTTTTCTCTCCCATCCCTTCTTTCTCTCTGTGCTGTCGTAGTC